TTGCCGTGATTGAAACATCTGTTCAGAATGTTTTCTTGTGAGGACCTCGTGTTCACTTTTAAATTGAAGGAAGTGTTCTTCAATCTTCTGAACCACCTCTTTTTCACTGTATAACCTTAGTGCAAGGTCATCAGCTTTCCTAACAACTGCATAGAATGATTCTTTCAGCAAAATTGCAATTCTAGCCAGCTTTTCATAACTTGACAATGTAATTTCTGTAGAGGTCACAACTTCTGCAACCTCCATCAGATCGTCCAACAACTCTTTTGGGTTCATGCAGTCCGCCCGTCTGCCATATGGATGTAAGGAAGCTGTCAGCAGCGCTAACGCATCTTCCAATCTGTCCTTCATCCCATAAGGATCAAAGTCTTTTTCCCTGACACCTGTCATGGTTATTCACCGTTCAGCACTTTTTCTGGATAAAACAATTGCCAGCTTCAGATATTTTTACAGGTAGATAATTGTATTCAAATGTCAATGAGTTTCACACTATTTTAGCTTTGGGTTTACACAAAAGTACTGTTATAAGTCAACTTATTCAAATGTGAGCACCTATCTCAGGTTTTACCCCAATTCATGAATATTTAAGTAAATGCTTCCATGCAGTGTTACTTGTATGTGCTTATCTTTCAACAGATACTAGATTACCAAGCGCTTTTTTGAGTATTTTACTCTAAAGCACTGAATTTTTATAAACCTGCAATTTTTCTTTGTAGTCTCACAGCACATCAGTTTAAAAATGTTTTTAAACCGTTTACTTCCAGAAATTCGCTATTTTAAACAGTTACTCATCAACCCAGGTGGGTGAAAAGAGAAAAGAAAATTGATGATGTTTCAGGATTAATTAGTCTTTCTTCAGAAAAACTGTTATTACTCCTGTCCTCCTGTCAGTATTTCCTATTTAAAATTAAATAGGAGATGTAATTGTTTAGGTGGTAAATAAAATCAGAAAAGTCTCTCTTTCCTGATATATTTACTCTTATTTAGTGATTTAGCAATTAAACGTGCATCATCTTCTAGCAAATGAGTAAACTTTATCAACTCTGTGAATATCTGAACTGTACCTTTTTTGTTAAAAAGTTTCTACCTTTTCATTTTGTACCTCCTTGTTTGAGGAATTCAGTGAATGAAAATGTCCTGGTAAATGCCTGTCTCGCATAAATACCTTAATTACTTTTTAAATGCAAGATAACAGTGATTATTCAGCTTTGAAGAACGTTTATTA